GCGGTGCATTCGAAAAGAAAAACACGTTTTGTTCTGACATTGTATATTGACTTAATTGTATTTAAGAATTAATTATTGTGTTCATGGTGTAGAGAAATTAAGACAGCTTTAATATGTAATTGTTATTAAACAATATTTAACAATTGTAATTCGTATACAAACGATAGTCTACATCATATACCGCCTATTTGAATAAATTACTCGTACTAGCGCAATATTATATGTGTCATGTTTTAACTATTTTTCGTAATAAATGTAATATCATAATGAATTCTACGAACAGAAAATGATTTTTGAAAGAAATATTATCCTTGATTTGAAAAAGTATATGTAATTTCTGTAAGTATTGAAAAATTAATTAAGAAGTATTGATTGGTTTGTATAAAATATTTATTTACTTAAATAAGAATATCCGTATTAGATAAAAAAAGGTAATGTTACTAGAATATTATTAAACATATGAAGTAAAGTATTTCGGAAAGTATTTCTAAGTATGAAGTAAAGTATTTCTAAGATGAAATATATTTAATTTCCAGGAAGGTAGCTTAGAAATTTTGGAAAGAACTAATTATCTGCGTAGTTCAAGCGAGGTCAAAGTACTAGAGTTTAACATTGACATGCACAAAATCATAGCAAACATTTGAAAATCATTCAGTTTTTCTGGAATAAATTCTTTTTAGATGTTTGACATTTTTTCGATGATTAAATTTAATGGACTAAAAATTCGATTAAAATTCATAAACTCATAATAATTATACAATTTTGAAAATAATCTTACTGAAATTATAATTTCAAAAGAAAGATAATGTAGTAAGGTAACAGAAAGAATTTAATCATTTGCAAGTATTTGTTTTGTACTGACGGTTTCAAGTTACTGAGAAGATATTAGTTAACAAGTTAATGATAAATTGAGAAGATATTATTATTGATTATTATTTCTAAAAATTGAATAATTTTTGATCTAGATAAAATATAATAATCTAAAATATATTGTAAAATATATTCAAAATACATACCTTTTGTAATTAAAACCATCAATTTTCATTTTTAGGAGATTTCACAATAAAATTTTTGGATAAGATCATTTTTATATTATGTTTAAGTTCAGAAGTAAAAATTGATTTTATATTTGCAATAACTATTCAGTGATAAAACAAATTCAATTTTGTATGTAATATCCAACCAAGTTGGACAAACAATGGATATTCTTCATAAAGATTGAAAGAATATAAATTTCGCTATTTAAACTAATAAAATGTGTCGAAAAAATTCGTAAAATGATGATATGTCCAAACGTATGTCGTTTTATATCCAAATCACTGGAGACGTTCTTATCAATTTAAACGACCTTTACTCCAAGAATTATTCCATTGCTTTTTTCAACTGACTCAGCTTCATTCTTTGTCCCCTGAAACAGTTGTATACCCACAATAAAACTCGTCAAATCGCAGTTTAATGTTGAAATTGGAGCAAATAAAATTTATTGTACTAATTGATAGTAAATATTTATTTTAAAAATCATTTATTACACTACGAACTTTCAATAAAGGAAGAATGCCTGAGATTTACTTAAGAAAACAATAAATCACAGATTAATCCTATAAATGACTTCTTTTTTTGTAAATTTAATCAATTGATGAAGACTATAACGACTAACGTCATTAATTCTCAACGCACAAGCTTATTGTTAGAATAACTAAGATAAGTTAAACGTTTATTACTTGATAAGCTTTTATAAAAATGTGTTTTATAACCAAAAAGAAGTAATTATAGTTTGCAATTAAACAAAATAAAAATAAATCATATTATTAAAAAAAATTAAGTCTGTTCAATAAAGACGATATTTTATAATAAACATAAGCACTATTACTATCTAGCAGCGAAATGTTGGTACTAATTGAAAATTATATAATAAAAAATAATTTTTTGGTTTCTAAGCATTTCTTTATAATGGGCGCTTAGAGTTCTGTTTTTAGTTAATAATTAAC